CATCCAGACCTTTATACCACAAGTGCCTGTAAGGCTGGGGGGGGAGGGGGTGGGGGAAGGGGAACCGGTGAATTAGAGACACAGGCGGATCCATAAATCTCCGGTCCTCCTCCCCTCCCCCCTTTCTTCCACTTTCCCGTACAAATCCGGGTATTTCTCCCCCATTCACCTCGAGTAGGCAGAAGAGGCAAGCTGATTTTCGGGTACGAATTAGCATCAGTTGGAGTAAGCTTTACCTCAGATATGAGTTCCAATTGGGTCTGTTGTTACGTACATCGGCGGCTTCAAGCTGTAACTTGCTGGTTGCACTGATCATATCCATTGAGGCAATATGTGCCGTTTGCATATCTCCAGATTGATCCGTCATTTTGCTCGCTGGAATTTCAACCATTTTTTTTTTTCGCAAAATCCACTCCGATTCGATGATCAACGCCAATAACAATCACGACGTTCTTCAGGGGGAAACAAACTTGTACACTGTACTGCACACACGCACACACACATACACACGCACACATACACACACTCAACACGCTAAACTTTCACCTAAATTATCTTTGCCATCACAATCGTCGTACTGACGAGGTCCAATTGTGGTAACGGTAAGAAATGTATACAACTTAATGAACCGAAACATTTCTTATCAATTACAAATATTTTAATACTCCCCTTCCCCTCTTTTTCACTTCGTTCTCCTTTTCTTCTTTTTCCTTCTCCTCATTTTCTACCTTACCTTTAAATACTCACATCAATTTTCCATTTACTGGAAGCAATTGAGGGAACCAGAGAATCAATACAACAATGTCTCATGCGAGGTAATGAGGTAAAAAAAAGAGAGGTAAATTTGAGGTAAAAAAAAGGAGGTAAATTTGGAGAAAACTACTGTCAAGTCGATTTTAGCAACGAGGTTGACCTTGAAAACCTAAAAATCGCGAAGGTGTGACAGATTACAACATGAAGGAACAGTATGAGGGAAGAAGGTAAGAGTAAGATAAGACGTTTCGATCCATTAAGTCATATACGTCTTAACTCAACGTACTTAAATTTGAGTTAGAAAATGAGGAAGAAAAAAAAAAGGAAGACGAAGTGAAATAAAAAGGGGACGGGGAGTATTGAAATATTAGTAAGAAATTTTTCGATCCATTAAGTCGTATACATTTCTTACCGTTACCACAACTGGACCGTGTCAGTGCATAAGTCACAATGCTGATGCAAATGCATTTCGAAGAAAATGTGGAAAATAGCTTGTGCAATCTGCAATACCACGACTGCCCGAGCTATCAGTATGGATTACGTTGTATTAGCGATGTTACTAAGATATTCCCAGACGTTGGTTGAAGCTAAGCCAAACAACTTAAAGACTGAAAAACGACAGCAAAAAACGGTGACGCGTTGTAAATCGGCCACAGGAACGTCTGGGAAGCCGGGAGGAAAGGCAGGGCTTGCAGGAAATCCAGAAATCGGGTATGGCCTGATTCAGGAAGAAAGACGAGGCATGGGGCAAAACCCAGAAACGAGAAGATGGAAGGGAGGAGAAGAGGGGGGGG